CCCGCCGCCGCTACCTCCGCCACCGCCACCACCGCCGCCACCGCCGCCGACGACGGAGTGTCCACCGCCGGCACCGGCCACCGGGGGTGGGGGCGCAGTGTCATGCGCTGTGGTAGAATGCGCTGATTGTTGCACCGGCAGCGCCCCAGCATAGTATCCGCCGTTGATGCCCTCGGGGTAGCTGCTGAAGAAAAGAGAAAGCGAAAAACAACATCATGGGCGAGACCTCGACAATTTCGCGCGCCACTTTTTTTCAGTACTTATGTATGTAGTAGAGTAGCGTTTTTTTATGGTGGTGTGTAGAGTAGCGTCCAATTTTTTTTATTTTTTTTTATTTTTTTTCGTTTTCTCAAGTGACTCTGTGTGTGACTTTCGTTTACGCTCTCTAGGTGGCGCTCTAGGTGTGCTTTTTACGTAGAGTAGCAATCGTTCCCTTCGCCAACGAGAACAGGAACGCAAAAACGCACACACAGGTCATCAAGATTCCTAAGAACGGAATCGTGTTTTTCTTTTCTATTTCTCTTTCTTTCGTTCGGTTTTTTTTTTTCTATGTAAGTATCGTATAAGCGCTTAGTCTTTACACTCTATACACACACGCATCAAGATATTTTGTCACGTTCGACTTTCACTTTCGGACTTTCACTCGGTAGAGAAGAGAAGTTAACATCTGCTCGAAAAGCCGTTTCTGCAAAAATTACCAGAGATGCAGTGTTACTTATCACGAAATTGATCCAGCGGCAGTTTTTAACAATATTTTCTATTTAATTGCAGTTAAGGCTCCTGGCTCCTTGTCACTATAGTCACCATTTCTTTTTTCCTATATATGCACATATATAATTCTTATTAAAAAAAAGTCTATCTTTTATCATTTTTTTTGGTATTATTTACAACATAAAAAAATTACCTGTTTTATTATTTTGTCTCTGAAAAATATTTATTTTAACTAAACTCTCTGTTCGTTTCGTGTTCCTGTGGAATATTTTGAACGTCGCAGGATCTAAAACACAGGGTTGCACATAATGGAGCTTTGTTTTAAATAATTTCAAAATCTTTTTGTACTTTAACTCTTTCGACAACACAAAAGAAACGACTATTTAAATTGCACAAGCGTTAAAGGGAAGGTGTAACAATAGTATGCATTCTAAACAACAGTTGTCAAAGTTCTCTTTTGCACGAGCAATTATCTCTTATCCGATTGAATGACAATTTTAGAGACTCATCGTACGTCTGCATACTACTGAACACTTACGAGTTTCGTGTTCGGATCGTAAAAGTTTTAATTATTTCAAATTTTTTTTAGATTCCTAATGTGTGTATACGTTATGTATACATTACTACAAGTACAAACGCACATAAATAAATATTTTATGTATGTGTGTATATATTGTATATACCTATGTTCAATAAATTAAGTATATTTAGAAAATAAACATCAAATAATAATAGATTCTCGCTCTCTTCGGTAAATTATAAAGTATGACGTCATATAATATAGTATAATGTATATTGAGAATAATGTCGCATATATGCAACTTAATTTCTTAAAAAATATAGAAGAAATGTTTCTTTAATGAATAATTTATATGTACATAAATACTTAAATAAATAATTTAAATTTATAATATGAAGTAAATTCTTTTCTAATTAAAAATCGGAAAAGTATAACATTAGCAACTATACATTATACTAATTCTTTCTTCTTAATAATGAAAGTAAAATATATTTTTTTTTTTTTTGTATACAAGTTCGTTATACATCTCTTCCCTAATATTATAATATAATATGAATTAAAACATAAAAACTTCTCTTTCGTAAATCTTTTTATACATGTCATGCGAATCTACGCAAATTTTTTACGTAATTATATATAAAATTGTACTAAAAATCAGAGTCAAGCTTTAGCAATCTCTTAACTGATAAACTAAAAAGAGCCTTTGATTGAATAAAAATCATCAGAAAATACGAAAACAAAAATTAAATTATTACCATAACATCAATAAAACCTAAGATATACGAAGAATTGCAATGCGAGAAAACATTGATACAAATTTTCGGACATCATAAACAAAAATGGTGCTCAGTAAGGAGCTAGGAGCCTTAACACGATAAAGGAGGGAGAAGAGAGCAGGCATATGTACAAAAACAAATTTTTATAGCTCGCACTATATGAGAAAAAAATACAAATCATACACTCTCGTAATGTACTTTTTATAGCTTAAAAGTTATCCGAAATATACACAAATAATATATTTCTAAAATATACAGAATGCACATTTATAGACTTTTTTTTTTTTTGCACAAATTTGATCAATTTCGTGACAGTCACTGTATCCCTTTTCCCCCGGTGGTTTGCAATCAAAGAAAAAAGAAGAGAGAGGAATGTGAACATCGTGTAAATATATAATAATATACTGCGCGTCGATATAACGTGTGCATATATATATGCATATATACACACAAATATATATACATATATATAAAAATATCTGTCTACGTCTTTTCATGTGTTTTATTCAACTAACTAGCGAGAGACTTTTTATCATTAATGTTATTATCATCATTATTATCCGAACTCGGAGAATCAGGTGGCATATATGTGTATGTATATACATATATATACACATATACATATATTTAATATATATATATAAAAATATCCGTCTATACGTCTTTTTCTTTCATTCAACAAATTGATACTTTTTTTTTTTCTATCATCGGTAATGTTATTATCATCGTTATCCGAACTCTGAGAATCAGGAGGCAGGGAGAAGCAGGCAGACAGGGCCTGGCTGAGGGAGGGCGCTTACCCGGTCGAGGAAAGGAAGTATTCCTTGTTCACACAGTTGCGCAGGCAGTCGGGTATGCGACCGACGATCGCCCGCCGTATCTCGCTCGCCGCCATCTCACGCAGCTCGGTACAACTTGCGTCGCTGTAGAAGGCGGCATGTGGGGTGCATAACAGATTGGGCGCATCTTTCAATGGACCTGCACGACACACATCGCAAAATTAGTGAAGAAAATTACAGATATGATTTACTTGGTGATGATTTTCTTTCTTCAAAAATACGTGAAGGAGGAGTTGCTCCCCCGATGATGATATAAATTATCAACTCTGAAATACTTCGCAATTTACACCCATTATAAAATATATAAATTTTCCTTGTGATTACACTTTTCTCATTAAGAAAGAAGTTTTTAATTTACGATGCTCTTAACCTTATTCCTCTTATGAAAGATATAGAAGAAGTTTGAGAGGAAACTGAACCTATCGAATGAGATTGAGGTCGATATTTGTGGTCGGATCTTATATTTAGGATCGTCTCGAGTCCTCTCATCTTCGTATACTCTAGTAGCCGATGAGAAACGGCCCTTACATCTCAAGATAAACTCAGGACGATCTTAAATATAAGATCGAACAATGACTATCGGCCTTCATGTGCGATGAAGTAAGACACACTGATTTACAAACTGACCCTGAAAGACGTTGTATGGCTCATTTTCGTGGACATCTAGCGCCGCTGCACGAATCCTACCCTGTTTGAGTGCCGCAGCAAGCGCGTCATCGTCCACCAGACCACCTCGAGCGGTATTAACTAAAAATGCTCCCGGTCTCATCTAAACATGAAAAAAGTGTTTTTAAAATACAACGCACGTGTGAAAAAAAAACATGTGAAAATGTTTTGCAAAAATAAATAATAATATATATAAACCATTGCGTAAATTTATCAAGAATATCTATATATGGCTACGCGATATCTATATATGCTATACACATATATATATAAAATTTGTGAGACTGTACATTAAATTAAAAGTTTATCTTATAAATGTCTTTCCTCTTTTTCTTCAAAATTTTGTTACCTGTTTGATGGTATATTCATTTATTAGATGATGATTGTGTTCGTTCAAGGTACAGTGTAGAGATACACAGTCTGATTGGAATAGCAAGTCCTAAAACAAAACAGTTAAAAAAATAAAATTATTATTAAGCAATTTAGCAACTGATATTTCTCTTACATCTTTTTCGATCTTTTAAATTTATATTTTAACGTCATTTAATTTATTTTCAAATAAACATAATTGATTGCAGTGAACGTGAAAGCCAGCTAAACAAACCTGTAATGTGTAGACCCTTGTGAGACCTAATGACTTTTCGATGCCGTCTGGCAAATAGGGATCATAAAAGATTACAGTGAAGCCGAAGGCTTTGGCACGCAGCGCAACTGCGGAACCAATTCTGCCTAATCCCACAATTCCTAACGTGTCACCGCGTATCCTTGCGCACCCGGTCGCTGCTTCTCTTACCTGAAACACGCGCAAGAACACACCAGGATTTATATCTCACACAAGGTATTTATTTAAACCGGTCTCAACGCTACTTTACTTAGATCTTATTAATTCACCTGTTCTGGTCCTGTAAACTTCTTGCCTTCACGCACCATATTAGCGAGCCAATAAGTGCGTCGATACAGATTTAGAATTAGACAGAGAGTGGTATCGGCCACCTCCTCAACACCATATCCAGGCACATTGCATACCGCGATACCGAGTTCGCCAGCTGCCTTTACGTCGATGTTATCTACACCAGAACCGATCCGGACAATGATCCGCAGTGTCTTGAATTTCTCCAGGTCTTCTTTCGTCAAAATTATTGTATGCCACATCAACGCACCTACAGCTTCATTTAATACCTGTAAACAGATCACATTATACCAGTTTTCACATTCTCTTTTATATAAATTACCAATTTTCTCTCATGTATAAATTTATACACATATAAGTTTATTGTAAGTTTGTGAAGCCTTAGAGAGGTTATTATCAAAGGTCCAGTTGACACACACACAACAATTACATGCATATTTTAGAATTCTACACAAAGTAAGTGTACTTCACTGTAATATTTTAAAATTTATAAATTCTTTTTACTGCAAATCAAGTGTTATTAAACACAGTTGAAAACAGGATCCATCGTTGCATAGAATTCAATGCAACTATGCGTTTGGATTACCTTTTCATGTATTTCTGAAGTAGACTGTGCATCGCAAAAGGCAACGGTAGCAACGTCCTTAAGAATAGGCATTTCAATTGAACAGTCACGGCCGTCAAGCAACGCGACTAACGGCCGCGTCTGAATTGGTCCATTGGCAATCGGACCTCTCAGGTTTTCCATACGTGGGCGTTTTGCCATCATCTTCCGTTTGTCCATCGGTCAGCAGACCGCCCCCCCTATTTTTATTGTTTTCACTGTGTGCTCTCAGTGTCACTACAAAGCAAAATTATTTACCCTCCCCTTTCAGCAATCGGAAGAATACAAAATTTCTATCTGAACAAAGACACTCGCAGGGGAGGTGTCTCTTCTAGTCCAATTGGTAACACTGTTTCTACACACTCTCTTTACTTTTTACGTTTTGTCACACAAACTGCTTCTGCAACACTGACTTCAAGTCGATCTTCAGGCAACGACTGACAAACCTCCAACGCATCACGGCTCAGTGAATACCGTCTCCTAAAAGTAGAAAATTTCAATTGATTATTAATGTGTTCCACTATATCTCATTTTAATATGTAAAAATATTCATCAATTATTATTCGTTTTTAATTAGCTTATATTATTAATTAAAAATTCAAAGATATAACACAAAAGTACAACAATTACGTATAAATAAACAATATAAATTATAATCAATCAGATCAATATAAAACTATCAATTTTATAAATTTTCTCTGCGTTTCGCAATACAATATTCTATCCCCCCGAAAAGCAGAGATTAAGATAAAACGCTACCGCATTCGGAGCGCACATTGTCGTGAATATTCAGCCGCGAATGCATTTCAGGCGGCATTCGTCACCACAACGGGACGTTGCTCCGCGTTCCCATGTGTGAACGCGGTGTCCCGTGATCGGTCGATCGACGGCGAATACCGATTTATCGTTTATGTTTACGTTCGCGCTGCACGAAATCACAAAGAAAACGGCGTGCGTTAGGTCGCCCGTCATCGTAGCTCGGTTTCCCCCCCGACTTTTTAGGTTACCTTGAAACGCGCCGGCTTAACCTGCGCAGTGCAATAGCGCGTCCGTTGGCTTGGCTGACGCGGAAACCGGACTGCGTGCGATCGTCGCCGATTTCGATTTCGTGGAAGAACACGACGATAACGGGACACGCGCGAACACCGAGTCCCGCGTCGCGAAAACCAGCCGGAGGAAGCGTACAATCCGGGATGAAAACGAAAGAAACGCATACAACCCAGCCGCGGAAAGAGAGGAGGCGCTCTCCGCGCGGATGCGACACCGCGATACTCACTTTCTCGCGGAGGGCTGAACCGATGTTTTCGGCAGCGTTAATAGCGAGGACTCCCGATTCTCTTCCCCTCTAACCGTTTCCCGCCCCGCGGCTCGTCCGCCATCTCACTCGTTCTCGGAGAGCGAGCGAGCGACAAGCGCACGCTAAACCGACCCGTTTCCAACCAGTTTCGGCGGCGCGGTGGTGACGATTGGAAACCGATCATCATGGTATTCGTTCACAATGCACAGTTACAAGCGTGTGTATGCGGCGCATTACCGCCCGTATATGTTCGCTACGTCATACATGTTGCAATTTTTTTCTTAACGAAATTGAAAGTTAAGAGTCTCGCGACGAGAAGAGAATCAATCCGCGTGGGATGAGCTCTGCTCTAATAGCAAAACAAAAAGATGCAAAACAAAATAAATATAAATATTGTTCTGTAACAAAAACAATCTTGCATTGTTTACACAAAAGCGATGTATGCAAATACGTATCGTATTTGATTTGAAATTTTCCATTTTTGGTGATTTGCAGTTTGCGCTAACCGGCATTGAGTCGTTTCCGCGCGTGTGAGAAAGGGAAAAACTGTTCTCCCTCTACACACCCATTTCTTTCAGCCGCTGTCGGTCGGCCACTGACCACCGCTGGTTATAGTAGTTTGAGTAAAACGGCGCGTGGAAGGGAAATTTTTTTCCACTCTCGCTGAACGACTCAATGCCGGTCGGTGTACGATAATTAGTTCAAGCGCGCAGTAATTATTGAGTCAACGAAAACTTGCGATATTCATTTTTTTTTTTTTTTTTTTTTTTTTTTTTTTTTTTTTTTTTTTTTTTT